GGCTCGGGGCGCCGCGCCTCCCTGCCCTCGGCGCATTCATCCGCTTTGGCCCCGGCCCCGCCAGCCCTGGCACTCCTCCCACCACCCCGGCGGCACGCGGGGCAACCTGCATCCCGTCCCGGGTCCCGGGGTCCGCTGACGGCCCCTGGGCCTCCCCCGGTGCTCCGAGGGCAGCCGCGCGACCTCTGCGCCCGGCGCTTGGATTCGGCCCCGCGGATTCTGGAGTGGGCGGTTGTCAATAAATGCCTGTGGCTTTTGCTATCAACTCTTTCTCGGCCCGGTTGTCTGCTGTCTAGTTTGCCGAGGAGGGAAGTTCCCTAAAGTTAGGAGCGGGGCTTGTTTGGAGTCTGGTGCTGCTTCCTTTCTTTCTGATGGAGAACTTGGGTCACATCGATCACCCATCAGCCAGGTAGGCCGGCCCGCAGGGGAGCAGTCGCGAAGCACCTTGCCAGGGTTTCCAGCGGCCTGCACCAGGGCTTGCAGAGGCCTCCTGCGGGGTCCGGGGAACAGAAACCTTAGGATGCGGGCCCCTCCCAGCTGAGCGCTTCACTCAAGTCATCTTGGAGCTGCCAGCCTGGTGGGGAGGGAGCTGAGATCAGAGCGTCCACTCTGAATCTCCCAAGTGACTGAATAATGCAGCTCTTGAGCGAAGTCAGCCAGGTGGGGAGCGGGCCCAGAGAAGCGGCTCTGTGGCTGGAAGAGCTGCCGAGGAAGTGGAGCTTTCACTCCGAGGGGTGGGGCGGAGGTGCACCCAGGCTGGTAGGAGGCCCTAGTTGCAAACAAAGGTAGCTGACTTGGGAGGCTCTTGATACAAAGTGGCCGCTGCAACTGCTGGGTGAGTGTGTGACTGCTCCTCACCCAGGGAGGTGGCCGATCCCAGAAAGCCTTCCCTTCCTTTCCCCCGCCCCATGCCAGGCAGCACAGGGAGCCCTGCAGACTTTTTCATGCTGCTGGTGACATTTTGACAGGGGTAGCTTCCGAACAGCACTTGTCTCTTGTAAGCACATACCAGTGGGTGTTTGAAGGTGTGTTGTGTCTTTCAGTCCATCACTGAGAGAACTGTGAGGCTTCTCATTTTAGAAACCCTTCCCTAGGTTTCAGAGGTGTCCCCATGGCACTGACACTCAGCCAGCCCTGGGCCACAGTGTTTCCAGCCTCTTGGTCTGCACAAAACTGTATTTTTTCTTTTTTTACCCAAGTACATCGTTTCTTAAAATGTGGTTTCCAGAATACAGAACTACACAGGATTGTTGTGCAACATCTCTTATAAAGCCCCTCCCCGCTGCTTTTCTTAGCATAATCTCACCCCTCTCCTATTTCTAGGGCTGGTCCTACAGGGGCCTCTTCTACAGCTTGTGCCTTAAAAAGACCTACTCCCTGGCTCTCCCTGCTGGCTTGTGTCCCTAGCTGTTCTGTCTCTACTTCTTACTTTCCTGAAGTTTCTGGGCCGGTGTTTTGAAGGCATGTATACAGATGAGCAAAGAAGATTTAAAGGCTCCGCCTTTCCTTTTAAAAACCTTGCTGGTGGTTTGGTTATTTCCCTCTACAGCTACCTGACTAAGTAGTTTCCTTTCTCAAAATAGGTTTTCTGGTGGTGAGAGCGGCCCTGTATGGGACAGGTACCCCTGTTCCAGCACCCAGACAGAAGGAGGGGTTATAGGCTTTCGAGCAGGAGCCCCTCAGGGGAGCTTGTGGGAGAGCTCCCAGGCACTCCCCAGGGGCCCCAGAGGAAGCTGGTTTTCTGTCACACTCAAGGGACATCCTGGGCAGTGAGCCACATCCGGAAACAGAAACTGCGTGGCTGTTTCTAACCCTCTGATGGACCCTCCCCTGAGGGCCTGTGTTGGGGGCAGGGTTTAGCCCAGGCTACCTCTGGCCTTTTACCTCTTCTTCATCCCCTCTAGTTAGTGCTGTCACATCTGTCCCTGCATCTGAGCATCCCCACATACAATTTGTTACTGAACAGAGGTCATAGAAAAGTTTTAAAGTTCATTTTTTAAAAATAATTTTATTGATTTTTTACAGAGAGGAAGGGAGAGGGATAGAGAGTTAGAAACATCGATGGGAGAGAAACATCGATCAGCTGCCTCCTGCACACCCCTTACTGGGGATGTACCTGCAACCAAGGTACATGCCCATGACCGGAATGGAACCTGGGACCCTTCAGTCCCCAGGCCGACGCTCTATCTAGTGAGCCAAACCAGCTAGGGCTTAAAGTTCATTTTTAAGAGGAACTGTAGGGAATGATAATAGATGTTTTCTGAGTATTCCCTGTATGCCACAGCCCTGTGAGGCAAGTACTGCCACTATTCCTTCTGTACAAGGAAAGCGAGGTAGGCTGAATAAAGGTCCCATTCTCACAGCAAAGACAGGGTTTGAGCTCAGGCAGCCAGGCCCACCCTGCCTCTTAGCCGCTTTCCTCCCACCACCTTCAGGGCCCCTCTCCACCTTCCGCTTTTGCAGCAGTGACTGCAGACCCTAAGACCACTGAGCCTTCACAGCCCTCTGCCAGCGGCGCCCAGGCCAATGAGCTGGCTTGTCTGGGTGGGGGTCCCAGAGGCTCCAGGAGTTTCAGTCACTCCCTACTTGGCTGCCTGAGAACACAGGCCTCAGACAAGGCGCATGGGCTCAGAGGCGGCTCAGGGTCTGTGTGGGTGAGCCCAGTGAGGTGGGTCAGCACATGAGCCATTGAGTGACCACCCAGAAAAGGCTTTGGAAGTCAGCCTCCCTACTCAGGACAGTTCTTGGTGCCTGGGGCTCGGCCTGCCTGCCTTCCTGGGTCTCTGAAACATTGGCCTGTCCTGGTGTACCTGCATTTGCAGAAGGCCAGGGTGGGAGTGAGGCACCTGAGTGGTGCTGCTGTAGCCTGGAGTCCCTGCACTGGCCGTCAGGCTTTTGCAGCTGTGCCTGCGGGTTTGCCATGAGAACGGGCCCCTTCAGCTAAGAAGCTGCCCAGCACCAGTCTCTTGGGCAGACACAGGCAGGAGCCTCCTGCAGGAGAGGTGAGCACTGGTAGTCTGCTCTAGTCCTCAGCACACCACGTTGATGATGCTGGAAACTAGGCCATGCGCTGAGCTACTGTGTGGACACCTAGTTCTGCCTCTAGCTCCTCGGGGACTGTGAAAGGAGACAAGCAGTGCTGCAGGGCTGGGCGAGTCCAGGGTCAGGCAGGGGTCCAGGTGTGCCTTCTCACGACTCCCAAAGTTCCCCTGCCTCCTACTGGAGGACAGTGGGGTACCCTTCACCTTGACCTCTGTGTCTCATCGGAGACCTGCTCCTCCGGAGGCCTGCACTGGACCCTGCATTCTGCCAGTGTTGAGGGTTACGGCTCATCCCCATATGTGTCCTTTGTCTTATGTCCTTTCCTTCTGCATGTGTTTTTTACAGCTTTATTGAGAGACAATTCCCTTATTAAAGTGTACAATTCAGTGGCCCATAGTATATGCACAGCATTGAGTAACCATTACCACACTCAATATTAATACATTCTTATCATCCCCAAAAGAAACCTCATCCCCATTGGAAGTCAACCTCTATACCCACAACTCCTAACGTGCTTTCTGTCTCTGGATTTGCCTGTTCTGGACAGTTCACATAAATGAAATCATACCATGTAGTCCTGCTTTCACTGAGCATGATATTGTTTATTGTTTATTTCTTGATTTCAGAGAAGAAGGGAGAGAGATAGAAACATCAATGATGAGAGAGAATCATTGATCGACTGCCTCCTGCATGCCCTTTATTGGGGATTGAGCCCGCAACCCAGGCATGTGCCCTTGACCCTGGGACCCTTCAGTCCGCAGGCTGATGCTCTATCCACTGAGCCAAACTGGCTAGGGCTGGGCATGATATTTTCAAGGTTCCTCCAGTGGTCACACCTGTCAGTACACACTCCCTCTTATGCTGAGTCGTAGTACATCGCAGAGATAGACTGAGATCCCATGTCCGACACCCATCGATGGCCACGTGGTGGTTTCTACTTGGCTGTTGTCACTAGTGCTGGGTGAGCACTCGTTGGTTTTTTTCAGCTTCCCCATTGTGACCCTCGAGGCAGCACTTCCCTTCAGAGGCTGGGTGAAGTGAGAGACTGCCTGATAAATACCCCAAGACTGGTGAGGAACAGCCCTGGCATCCTCACTGGAGCATCAGGGCTGGGTGCATAACATCTCCTTTGCATGCCTGCTGTGATGCATGGTGAGCCCTCACTGGGTCCAGGACATGACCAGTGGGCCCACCTCCTTATTCTGCAGGACAGTGGTCACCAGGAACGCTGCACTCTAGGTGTCAGGCCTGCCTGAGCCTTATCTCGTGCAGATGTTAATGTGAGAGGTGACCAGTCAGGTGGTGGCAGTACTAGAGGCCAGCCTGTAGGAGGCGGGCCTCGGGTTGGGCAAAGGAGGGACTGTGGATCTCCCTTGGCTGCCTTTTTCTGAGAAGGAAGTGAGAGTATGATGGCAAAGGGAACTCTGACCCCTTAGCTTAGCTGAGTCCTCTGTATACTCAGAAACATTTTCGCATCCCTTTGTCCCGTACAGCTCCTGTCCCCACCATGGCCCAGCCTGTTCGACTTACACAGGTGGGAGTAGAGGGGTGCCCGCCCTGGTTTCCTGTAGTCTGCAGAGTTACCACCTTTCTCGTGTGTCTGGGCTCAGTCCCTGTGATGGGACTGAGCACATGCTCTTCTGGGCTGTGGAGGCTCCATTTCAGTGTCGGTTCTTGATCCTATGTTGCAGCTAAGTGGTCCCCACAGCACTTCCTACGAAGCTGGACTGAGTGGTCCTATGATCAAGCGCCTTCTCCCTCTCACCCCTCTGACCAGCTTTTTCTCTAAAGAGCAGCACCCTCCTCTGCAGTGTTGGGGGTGGTTGTAAATTCCAGTTGAGGGGTGCATGGGTAGGAGGGCTCTCTGCACATGCAGCCTACACAGGACGGGGCATCTCCAGGGACAGCGCCAAGAGCTCAGGGCTGAAGGAGCCTCAGGTGCCCACATGTATGCCCAGGGCCAGGAGTATCACTGCTGGACTGTCAGGAGCCTGAGCACAGTTCCTCCTGTCATTGTTCCTCCATTCAGGCCTCTCAGGAGAGCCCTTCCTGCCCAGAAGGTGGCACTGTCCCGAGGCTGGTGATGCTCATCTGTCAGCCCATCCCCATCAATGGCCCTTCCCCATCAATGAGTCCTTTGATTTCCTCTCCCACCCTTGTTAGTGATTTCACTCCCCAGAGCTTAGTGAGTGAGGGTCTCCAAGGTCCCCTGGACTGTCCCCATGTTTTCTGAGCCCCCTGAGGTATCACCATGTGGCAGTGAGATGGGCAGGCTGAGCTCAGGCCTCCTACTGTAGCCAGAGCTCCTGCTGGGACCAGGGCCATGGGCCAGCACGGGTCCTAGAGAGCCACAGCTGCCGCTCTACCCAGTTCCAGGATACAGCAGAGGGTCCCAAGAGCCCATGGCGGGAAGGGATCTGGGGTCATCTTTGAACCAAATGGTACCCATCCAGCCAGTGGGACTCAGGCTCAGAAATACTGTCTCCAGAAATGCACAGTTAACAATGGTGAGTTACCCTACGTATGCTGGAGCAATCTGGCCTGTGACCTCAGGCCCATGTCCTCTACCCCTGCAGGTTCTGCGGGGAGTGCCTCCAGCCATGCCTACAGGTACCATCCCCCCTGTGCCCGCTGTGCCGCCTGCCCTTCGACCCCAAGAAGGTGGACAAGGCCACCCACGTGGAGAAGCAGCTCTCGTCCTACAAGGCACCCTGCCGGGGCTGTAGCAAGAAGGTACCCACCCCCGGGTGCCCTCGGGGCCAGGAGCGTGCTTGGGGCCTGGTTTCGCCCTCCAGCAGAGGAGCTGGGCTCTTCTCTTTCCTGTTGAGGACCCTGTAGCTCTGCTCGGCCCCTCCCTCACGGCACCGAGCACTTCAGGTGGCTCTGCCTCTGGTCCCGCATTGCATCCCCCAACTCCACTCTCTGGCCTGGGCTCTGGGTTGCTTGTGTGCCTTGTGGCCGATGCAGGGACATGGGCGGAGCTGAAACCCACCCGACACAGCCTTGACACTCCGGTGATCCGCTGCTCGGGGCATTGATGTGAGGGAGAGGCGGGCAGCTTGGGGCCACGGGCTGAAGGGAGCACATTGCTCTGTGGCCTCTGTCACCTACATCACCTGCCTTAGGCATCCTGCCCCTAGATCCCATCCTACCACCTTCCTCACACCCACCACTCCCCCAGGGCTGGGAGGCCCTGCCTCCGGGTGGATGGAATCGGAACTGATTTTGATTTTACATTTTCAGACTTAGCCATCTCTCTGGTGAACAAGTTCAACCAACTTAGCACAATGGAAAGCTGCCACTGGTTGCTTTGCCTTAAAGGTCAAAGGTCTGAACTTTGGGGCTGACCTGAGAACCTCCAGGAGGGGGTGTTGGGGCTTCCTTCAAGTTCACATAGTCCCTTCCCCGCTTCTCCCCTTGATCCTCATATAGTTTCACATGTGAAGTGGCTCTCCCCTTCACTCCATGCCCCCAACCCTGGGCAGAGCTGGTATCAGAAGGCTATTCTGTTACCCAGACACCTGGCTCAGACCTTGGTCCTGGGGATAGTGCCCTGTGCTCATGGAGGCAGTTGTCCTGCCCGCACCCTCTCTTGCTGTTTCCTCCGTTCTGTGAACTAGTCCTCTGTTTGTGAAATGTTTACCCTCCAGCCTCTTGGTGTTGGCCACATGGCAGGAAGGTGGTGTCCACTCCCAGGGAGGTTGACCAGAGTTCCTCAGCGTTGCCCTACCCCGGCCCTGCTCTGAGCTGGGACCCCTCCTCCCCAACACCCTGCCAGAGTTTGTGACTCAGGCAGCCAAGGAGGGGGTCAAGCTGGGTTTGGTTTGGTACCTTTTGGTAAGGAGTTTTGTCAGCTGTTCGGCTGTCTAAAAGAATTTAGCTCATTGGTTCCTGTTACGAGGGGCATTTTTCTTGAATGAAGGTACTTCCCATTCCCCCAGGGGCTTTGCGCTTCTGCAGCTCCCCAGGGACCCCAGCTTGGGGTGCTCCCATCCAGGGGCTGAGGGCCATGTCAGCCTCCTGCCAAGCTGCAGTTAACGCAGTGTACACCTGCCGCTGGACATAGCTCAGAGGCATGTCCTGGGGTCTCGAGTCTGTCTCCTTCCCTTGCCTTTTTTTCTCCAGCAAGGACACTGGGCCCCTAAGAGAGGCCCCAGAATCTTGTTTGTTACACCGCTGGGCTGTGAACACCAGGAGCAGGACCAGCCTGCTTGCTGGTGGTTCTCTGGTCCAACGGAGCCAGAGGCTGCCCTCTCCCCACCCCCCGACTGCCTGACCCTTGCCCTGCCTCTCTTCCTAGGTGACACTGGCCAAGATGAGGGTGCACGTTTCCTCATGCATGAAGGTCCAGGAGCAGATGGCCAACTGTCCCAAGTTTGTCCCTGTGGTGCCCACATCCCAGCCCATTCCCAGGTAGGCCACCCCACCAGGGACACTCAGAGTCCCTGTGGGTTGTGGGAGCAGTTCCTGGTCTGCACCACTAGGTGGAAGCAGTGCTGCTCCACCCCGAGGAAGTGGAAGGGGCTCTGCATCACCTCCCAGCAGGGGTGTGCTGTCCCCAGAAAAGCAGGGTCTGGATAGATGATTCATCTCAGGGCAGGTGGCCTGTCCTCGCCCCACTTGCCCAGCCATGTTGGGAAGGAGAGGGACAGGAGTGTATGAGGCAGCAAGAGGTTACGGAGCAGTTGCAGTGGGGTGTGCTGAGGAGCAGGACAGAGGGCCCCACGGTGGCCAGGGTCCTCAGTACTTAGGCTGAGCCTCCTTCCTGCCTGCTGCCAGAGGAGGGGAGGGCACACCTGTCCTGGGGCAGGTGGGGCTGGGCTGCAAGAAGGTCGGTAGTGCACAGTCAGGCTACCACTTACCCCTCCCCTCCCCACCCCAGTGCCGTCCCTAACAGATCAACCTTCACCTGCCCTTACTGTGGCGCCCGCAACCTGGACCAGCAGGAGCTGGTGAAGCACTGTGTGGACAACCACCGCAGCGATCCCAACCGTGTGGTGAGCGCCCGCTGCCAGCTACCCGGGTGCCTGAGCCCCACTGTCCACCCACAGTGCCCTCCTGGGACCCCAGGGCGGGGGCTCGCTTCTCACTACTGCTCAGCTTCACCCCAGTGTCCTCGGTTCCAGGTGTGCCCCATCTGCTCAGCGATGCCCTGGGGTGACCCTAGCTACAAGAGTGCCAACTTCTTGCAGCACCTGCTCCACCGGCACAAGTTCTCCTACGACACTTTTGTGGTGCGTGTCCTCCCCCTCCCCAACCCTTAACCAGCCTCAGGTCCATAATTCAAAGGGAGCCGAACACACAAAGGCCTCCCCAGATTTTTTTAAAATATATTTTTATTGATTTCAAAGAGGAAGGGAGAGGAGAGAGAGAGATAGAAACATCAATGATGAGAGAGAATCATTGATCGGCTGCCTCCTGGAGGCACCATACTGAAGCCCACAACCTGGGCATGTGCCCTTGACCAGAATCAAACCTGGGACTCTTCAGTCCATAGGCCAATGCTCTATCCACTGAGCCAAACCCGCTAGGGCCCTCCCCAAATTTTTGTGGAAGCACCTACAGGTCTGGTGCTGATGGCAGCCAGGTCCAAGTGGCCACTAGAGGTCCTTGGACTCTGGATCAGCACAGAATAGTTTGAGAGGGCCCCTTGGTTGTTCAGAGCTCTCTTCACACTGGGCGGGGAGAGGGGGGACTTCTCTGGGAGAGGTGACCACAGGTACAGTGGCTGTTGCAGGGGGACTATCTCCCCAGCCCTTCCAGGACAGAGAACCGTGGAGGGTGATGGCTGGCCTGGCCTCAGGTGCTTATTGGAGAAAAGCCAAAGGGACTTTACCATCTTGAAAATCTCATCTGCTCTGGTCGGAACCCTGCCTGCTCCAGGCCTGCACCTCCTCAGGCTCTTCCTCCTGCTCAGCCCCTCCCCACCCGGCCATGTTGTCCTGTCCCTGCCAGCCTGCAGCCTCCAGGTTCCTGCTGTATGGGATAATGACTCATGCTCCTGTCTGCCCCCAGGGTCCCTGTGGTTGGAGGCGTGGAGCTCTCTGGCTTCTCTGCTCCTCACAACCCTCGTTTTCACATCTGAGGCAAAAGGACAGCTCTTTCTCCAAGTGTCTGCCCCTCCCACAGGCCCGCTGGGCAAGGGGTCTGTTGGACAAGGTGTCCGCTGGACAGCTGCAGGGGCCCTCAATGTGGAGAACTTGGGAGATGCCAGACATGTGGCAGCACTTTAACCTCCAACAGAGCTTTCTCCACGTGGCAGCAGTGACCCTATGACTGCAGGGGCCTCATTCTTGGCCTGAGTCGTGCTGCAGGGAGGTGGGGAGAATGGAGGTGGTACTGCTGGTCTGTTCTGGTGACTGTCCTGAGAAGTCGCTAGCACAGCTGGGCCCTCATGTCTGGGCCCTTGAGTCCCCCAGCCCATCTCCACTTCCTGTCTTCCAGGACTACAGCATCGATGAGGAAGCCGCCTTCCAGGCTGCCCTGGCCCTGTCTCTCTCCGAGAACTGAAGGCGCAGCCCAGCCACCAGGACCGAACCTCCCGCCTCGGGGGACAGGGCCATGCTTCTCTCTGTGGCCCAGTGCCTGCACTTGAATGCGCCTTGCGGGCCAGGTGGGACTCCATCATTTCAGAAGGAGAGGCGGTACTCGGATTGCCAGGCCGGGAGAGACCACTGTCCCCTCTCCATCAGAGGATGGTTGCCTGTGCTCCTGATCAAGCGTGGCTGGTTTCTTCGGTGCTTCAGGCCAAGCAGGCAGCCCTCTCAGGGCCGGCCTGTTGGGACTGAGAGCAGTCAGCTATCTGCCTCTCTCAAAGCCATGGTGTCCTCCCCATGCGGAGGGGGAGCCCCAGCGACGCCCGGCCGGCCGCCGGCGTCTGGCAGCACTTCCCCTGTGCACCTGGTACTGGCTTTGTGATACCTAGAAATTCTGGCATTTTTCTATATTATCCAGTGTGATAACCTTTTCACATTTTATAGAGCAAAGTCAAAGCAGTTTCTCTTCATATTGCAATATCTGTGTTTGACTAGGAACAATAGTATTTTTATGGAGCATTTACAAAATTATATTTTTTAAAAAAAAGTCAAAAACAAACTGTTGTGGGATCAAGCTGGGGAGGGAAGGAGAGAGGGAGCAAATGCTGGGGCCAGAATGAACCCTGGAGTTTCACTTGTGCACACGGGGTGGAGGTGGCCACGCCCCAGGCCAGCTCAGTGTTTTTGAGGGTTCCTGTGGTTGGTTTGTCATTTCCCTTTGATAGTGACTTGGAAGAAATCTCAATTCCTTGGCCACTTGCAGTGGCTGCTGGGCTGTTCTGGGGCCTCCTCCTGCCCAGGGTCCGGGCCTCAGCCCCGCTGACCACATCCTGCCTTAGGCAGGGCCACCCCCAGTGGTGGTAGAGCTTGCGGGGGCAGGGCTGTGCAATGGTGGACTGGGCCAGAAAATGCTTGTCAGTACCCTTGTTTGGTTCATGGCATAAATTATTGCTATCCTTTAAAAAAAATAAAATGTTTGAAAGCATCGGTAGCAGCAGGATGGGTTCATTCTGCAAATAGTGAAAGCCCAGGGCTGGTGTGGAGTCACCACAGCCTTCCTTTGCGAGTGGTTTCTGTCCCCAGGCAGCTCCAACTCAGAGTGACGCTGGCTTCAGGGTCACCCGTGAGCACATGGTGGCCAGGGGGAGCACTGTGGTCAACCGTCCTGCCCGCCAATGCTCTCAGGCCCCGCTGGCCTTGCCGCCAGCGGTCACTGGGAAGACCAGGGCCTCCCACTCCTCCCACGAACACCATGCTTCCTTAGTGCGCTGGAGGCTTCGCAACTGGGACCCTCGTCCCCCGGCCTGTTTCTGCCTCTCAGAGCAAATTCTTGAATTGCATCTGGTCCCTTGTGACAAACCCAGGCAGAGGTTTGCTGGGTGTTGGTGGCTTTCACCTCCTTGGTCCTAAGACAGGGTTTGCTGAGGCCAGTGGACTGGCCGGGTGTCTCCCCAGGCTCCCTAGTCAGAGCTGGTCTGAATGGGGCCTGTTCTGGGCCCAGAGGTGGGGTAGTCGTCAGGATGTCGTTGGGGTGAAGCCCCACAGTCCTGCAGTCCCCATGTGGCAGCCACACTGCTACTGGCCTTTGGCACTCTGCAACCCACCCCCTAGTCTGCCTGGTGCCCCCCGAGTGTGACCTTAGCTCCCAAGCCTCACTCGGCCACTGAATGGCTGTGAGGAGCCATTTAGACATTGGCACCCCACCTTCCTCCACTGAAACATCCACCTAGCGGGGTGCTCCATGGCCACCATCAGTGACACAGCCCCTGCTGTTCTCCAAGTCACCGTGGGCCTTTCAAAGCCGCAAGAATCACCTGCCGGCCAGTATCCTGATGGCTGGTCACCTGAGCCCTGTGCCTGCCTCACTCCGTTTGTCATCAGATAGCTTACCTGACGGGGCTGTGTTCTGGACCATTCCTCTACTGAGGCGGGGGTCCCCTGAGCTGTGGCAGAGCAGCGCAAGCGGAAGTTTCCACAAGTGGTCCTAGAGGGGAGTGGGACTTGGTCTGAAGTTACCCGTTTAGAAGCAGTCGACCTTGGACACCTTTAAGGAGCCACTGGCCCCACTCCAACTTTTGACCCCACTGGCCAAGGATGCCAGGTTCCAGGGCATAGCAGAGCCACATGCCAGCCTTCCAAAAGGAGGCCCTTGATGCAGTGCCCAGAGGAGCTGTCTGGATCCAACCTCAGCTTCCCCAGGCCCGACAGGAAAGGAAGGTGTCGAAGCAGCTGAGGTCCCTCCTGCAGGAGGCCAGGTACCCCAGTGAAGCCCTCTTGCCCAGCCCTGCCAACTGGCCCACCAGGCACACAGACCCAGGCCACATTCCCCAGCCCCGGGCCTGGGTCTGTGTGATCGGTGGGCCAGTTGGAGGTGTCCTCGGGCTCCTGAGATCTGGCCACCATCTCAGCAGGTTCTGATCTCACCATGCCCTTGCCTGCTGTCTGCCCGTTGGGGAGATGGCTGGGTGATGGGGCCATATAGCCCCCCCGGGGCACAGAGAACACATGGGGCACACAGGGCCCATGGGGTCCATGAGACACACGGGACACGTGGACCACACCACTGCTCCAAAACAGGATCGTCTGCCCAGGGAGGGGCATTAATGTGAACCCCATGTGATTGTGGACACATGTGACCTGGATCAGCAGACTCGCAGAGGGGAGTGGGGGACACCTCAGGTTGAAGCTGTGGCACCAGCAGTCTCCTCTTACTTTGGCTAAAAACTGAGGTGGAGCCAAATGTCTAAAACCCATGCAGTGGGGCCTCCCAATGAGAAGGGGGGGCTCAGACCACAGCTGGGATGAAAGCCACACACCCAGGCCAGCCCCTCAGGGCCTTCCTCAGGTCTCACCACAAATCCACAGGCAGCCAGAGCCCCCACACAGCCGCATCCCAGGTTTCCTGCTGCCCAGCGTGTGGCCTGATTCAGGCTCCCATTGCTTTGTCTCCTCCACCCTGACAATCCCGGCAGCTTTTCTCTTCAGCACAAAGCCAAACAGTCCTTACGTTCAGGGCCCCCTTATGCCTATGCCCTGGAGTGTCCCCGGCGGGAGGTGTCAGCCCCTGCCTTTCATGTTAGGCACACCCTAGAAAGGGCCTCTGGGTCCCCTGCTAGGATGGGGACAGGCAACCAGCCGCCAAAGGCAGGACACCCAGGGCACGGAGCCTGTGGCCCAGGCTGGGCTCCCATCACTAGCCCAGAGCTCCTGAGATCTGGCCACCAGCTCTGGGCACTGACGGGCAGCAGGGCGGACATACAGGGTACGCCTGGGCACAGCCACACAGGTCCACTGCGGAGCAGCTCCTGGTGGGCTTGGCTCAGCCTGGGTTGTGGGATTCCAGGCCAGCCTTTTCATGAAATACAAGTGTATACAGAGGCCTGGCACCAAGGAACTAACAAGCGGGGCTACCTGCTTCATATCATCAGAGGCCCAGCACACCTGCCACCAGAGCTGTAGCCTCCCCAATCCCTTGGGGGCCATCTTGATTTAGGTTCACACACCCAGGGTGACAGGCGGAAGTCACTGTTCCCGTTTCCGGAGTGAAGAGGTTCTGAGAACCTGTCACAGAGGCAAAGGGCCTGCCATGGACTCTTCCTACCGGTGCATCTTGACAAGTCCTGAGACACCTCTGCCCCACCCAGGGTCTGGTGCAGGGAGGGCACTGCGTCATGACCCAGCTGCAGTCAGCCCGCTCACGGGGCAGGGCCTTACACTCCAGGGCTGAGGGGCCCGAGGTGCCCTTGCACCATCAGCCTCAGGACCGAATCTCTGGCAGCCAGAAGCAAGGAGCGGAGGCTGGCCTCCCAGCCAGAGCCTGGGTCTCAGCCAAGGAGAAGGACAGGCGACCGGGTGGGAACAAGGTGGGCTGAAACAGGCGTTTCCTCTGAGTGCGGCCCTCACAGCCTCAGGTTCGGCCAGCTGCTGGGCCCTGCCTGGTGTGGGCTCCTCTCCAACTGAGGAGCGGAAGAGGCAGGAGCTGGCAGACTGTTTCGTGGACCTGTGCGACCCGCAGGAGTCTGCTATCAAACCTGTGGAAGCACCTGGAGAGGAAGGGTGGGTGGGCTCACGAACAGGCTGCTGGGAAGTGCGAACAGCATCAATGAGGTATTTTTCTAGAAACTCTGAGACATTTGGTGCATGGGTTTGTGGGGCTGTGGTTTGTTCTACTTGATGAGGCCCTCGTAGCAAATTGCAAATCGCAGAGAGCAAGGCTGCTGTCTGGGTGAGTGTCCTGAGGCGGCTGTAACAAAAACCACAACTGGGCTTCCACCACGGGAATGGACCTCCCATTGCTCAGGAGGCCAGAGGTCCAGGTATCGGCAGGGCTGGTTCCTTCTGAGGGCTGAGGGGGAGCACCCATTCTGTTCCTGCTCTCAGCTCTCCAGCTCCAGCAGCCTCCAGGAGCCTTGGCTCACAGGGGCATCACTGAGCTGTCAGCTCCAAGTGGCATCCTCCCTGTGCCCTCGCCATCTGCCCATTTCCCCTTTATCAGAACACAAGTTATCACACTGGGGCCGCCCTAATGACCTCATCTTGACTACACTCACAAAGACCCCATATTCAAATAAGACCACAACCACGGGTGCTGGGGTTGGTACTCCAACGTGTTTTGGGGACAAATGCTTCAACTCCTAATGAAGTCTGCCAGTTCACTGTCAGCACACACTGAGTAGGCAAAGTGGGGAAGAACTGGGCGTGAGCTCCAGCTTGGTGCCCTGACCCAGCCCGGGGACAGAGCCGCTGGGGTCTGCTGAACGTGGGGGCCAGCATGTCAGATCCTGCAGTCAGTGGCTTCTAGAGAGCCTGCCCGAGGCCTGGCCGGGTGTTGACAGGATCCCCAGGCCCTGGAGGTGCATTCTGGGGTCCTCGACATGCTCTGGCTGGCAGGGCTGAGCTCCTTGGCTGGAAGCCGCTGCGGAGGTTAGAGCCAGCCAAGACGCCTCTCCAGCAACCCTCGAGGACAGGGCAGGCCTTGCCGCTCTCTGTGTCCTGGTGGCTGGGTGAGCGAGAGAAGCACAGCACACTGACTGAGTGAACTCGAGACCACGTGTGCCGAGGTTCGGACACTTCACTGAGGGAGGATCAGCAAATGGGACTGTCCTGTCCAGTCCATCACTATGAGAGAGAGCCACCCAACACATGGCCTTTGAGTCTCTATGATAACCTGCTGGGGACGACTGCAGAGAGGATTCAGTGGGGTGAGGAGCTGGAAACTGAGCTGTGGACCCAACAGACCCCTCCATTCAAGGCCAGGGCTCATCTGCTGATGCCAGACCTCTGTATCACATGAAAACAGTTCCTGCAACCTCACACATGTACACACGTATACAAAATATTATATGTGTGCATGTCCAGGAGGCAGGTCTGCATACGTGCACATACCAGCATGCACACATACTGACACATGTGCACACAGCCTATTCCTGTCCAGTCACCACTCAGTTCTCACCTTTCCTGCCCCAGCCCCCAGGACCCTCTTCATTATCCAACATCACAAGCCCTATGGTGTCTAGGCCTCCATTGCCTGCCTTCTGAGCAGTGTGTGGAGGGACAATGTTGCCTCTCATACCCAGTATCACATAGGCTATGTCCACCGAACCTCTATTTAAGAACCAGTACCACCTCTAATAATCATGTCCCAATGGAATGAGCAGCTCTAAGCAGTAGTGAGTTTCCCTTCACTGAGGGTGACCAAGCACACACTGGCCACCTCTGACCAGCTGTTGGGAGCTGGAGCATTGGGCCCAAGTTTCCATGTGTCCATCACATTGGGTAGCCGTGAGGTTGCCTCAAGTCAGGATTTCCCCTCCATGCCCATCCTCCCTCCATAAAAGCTCCACACACTGATACTGGGGGCCACGGTCACAGTGGCTGGTGCCCCCAGTGCAAGGGCCATCTGCTCAGGGCCTGGGACAGATGAGCCCCAGCTTCAAGACCTGGTTCTGAGCACTATTCCAAGAGTCCTGGTGCCAGGCTCACCCCTG